GACTTCAACACACCACTTCAAAGGACAGATCAACCAGACAGAAAATAAGTAAGGAGACAGAGGCACTGAACAACACATTAGAACAGATGGACCTAACAAACATCTACAGAACACTCCACCCAAAAGCATCAGGATACATATTTTCAAGTACACAGTGAACATTTTCCAGAATAGATCATATACTAGGCCTCAGAAAAGCCTCAGTAAATTAAAAATGATTGAAATTGTGCCAACCAACTTCTCAGATCAGACAGGCATGAAACTAGAAATAAACTGTGCAAAAAAACCAAAACGGCCAACAAATACATGGAGGCTTAACAACATGCTCCTAAATAATCAATGGATCAATAACCAAATTAAAACACAGATCAAGCAATATATAATGAGAAATGAAAACAACAGATCAATGCTCAATTTCTGTGGGATGCAGTGAAGGCAGCAAATCTGGCCTATCTAAAGAAGGAAGAACAATCCCAAATGAACCATATAAATTCACAATTAATGAAACTGGAAAAAGAACAAATGAGGCCCAAAGTCAGTAGAAGGGACATAATAAAGATCAGAGAAAGAATAAATAAACTTGAGAAGAATCAAACAATAGAAAGAATCGATGAAAACAAGAGCTGGTTCTTTGAGAAAATAAACAAATAGATAAACCCCTACTCCAAGTTACCAAGAAAAAAACAGAGTCTACACACATAAACAGAATCAGAAATTGAGAAAGGACAAGTCACTATGGACACCACTGAAACACAAAAACTTATTAGAGAATACTATGAAAAATTATATGCTAACAAACTGAATAACCTAGAAGAAATGGACAACTTTCTAGAAAAATACAACCTTCCAAGACTGACCCAGGAAGAAACAGAAAATCTGCACAGACCAATTACCAGCAGTGAAATTGAACTGGTAAGCAAAAAACTACCCAAGAACAAAAGTCCCAGACCAGATGCTTCACTGCCTAATTTTATCAGACATTTAGACAAGATCTAATACCCATCCTCCTTAAAGTTTTCCAAAAAGTAAAAGAGGAGGGTATACTTCCAAACTCATTCTATGAGGCCAGCATCACTCTAATACCAAAACCAGACAAAAACACCACAAAAAAAGAAAATTACAGACCAATATCCCTGATGAACATGGATGCAAAAATACTCAACAAAATATTAGCAAACCAAACTCAAAAATAAATCAAAAAGATCATCCATCATGATTAAGTAGGATGTACATGATCAGGGATGAAAGGATGGTACAGTATTTGAAAATTCATCAACATCATCCACTACATCAACAAAAAGGCGGACAAAAATCACATGATTATCTCTCCATAGATGCTTTAAAAACATTTGACAAAATTCAACATCCATTCATGATAAAAACTCTGAATGAACTGGGTATGGAAGGAGATAACTCAACATAATTAAAGGCCATATATGACAAACCCACAGCCAACATCATACTTAACAGTGAAAAGCTGAAAGCTTTACCTCTAAGTTCAGGAACAAAACAAGGATGCCTACTCTCCCCACTTTCATTCAACATGGTACTGGAGGTCCTAGCCACAGCAATAAGACAACACAAAGAAATAAACGTCACCCAGATCAGCAAGGAACAAGTTAAACTGTCACTGTTTGGAGGTGACATGATATTGTACATAAAAAAAGAAAAACTAAGAATCTACTCCAAAACTACTAGAACTAATATCTGGATTCAGCAAAGTTGCAGGATACAAAATTAATACACAGAATTCTGTTGCATTCCTATATACTAACAATGAACTAGCAGAAAGAGAAATCACGAAAGCAATTCCATTCACAGTTGCACCAAAAAGAATAAAATACTAGGAATAAACCTAACCAAGGATGTGAAAGACCTATACCCTGAAGACGACAAGACACTCTTGAGATAAATTAAGGAAGACACTAATAAATGGAAATACATCCCATGCTCATGGATAGGAAGAATTAATATTGTCAAAATGGCCATCCTGCATAAAGCAATTGACAGATTCAGTACACTCCCTATCAAAATACTGACAGCATTATTCAACAAACTAGAACAAATAGTTCTAAAACTCATATGGGATCACAAAATACCATGAATAGCCAAAACAATCCTTAGAAAGATGAATAAAGTGGGGGGGATTACACTGCCCAACTTCAAGCTCTGCTATAAAGCAATAGTAATCAAGACAATTTGGTCCTGGCAAAGAACAGACCCATAGATCAATGAAATAGCACAGAGAATCCATGTATAAACCCCCAAATACATGGCCAATTAATATATGATAAAGGATCCATGGACATACAATGGAGAAATGACAGACTCTTCAACAACTTGTGTTGGCAAAACTGGCCAGCTATGTGTCAGAGAATGAAACATGGTTACTGTATAACTCCATACACAAAAGTAAACTCGAAATGGATCAAAGACCTGAACATAAGTCATCAAACCATAAAACTCTTAGAAGAAAACTTAGGCAAAACTCTCTTGAATATAAACATGAGCAACTTTTCCATGAGCATATCTCCCTGGGCAAGAGAAAGAAAAGCAAAAACGAACAAGTGGAAATGTATCAAGCTAAAAGCTTCTGTACAGCAAAGGACATTATCAGTAGAACAAAAAGGCATCCTACAGTATGGGAGAATATTTTCACAAAGTACATATCCAATAAGGGGTTAACATCTGAAATATATAGAGAGCTCACATGCCTCAACACCTAAAAGTAAATAACCCAATTAAAAATGGGCAGAGTATCTGAACAGACAATTCTCAAAAGAAATTCAGATGGTCAACAGGCACATGAAAGATGTTCTGCATTACTAATCATGACGGAAATGCAAATTAAAACCAGAATGAGATATCACCTCACACTAGTTAGGATGGCCAGCATCCAAAATACAAGCAACGACAATGCTGGTGAGGATGCAGAGAAAAGGGGAACCCTCCTACATTGTTGGTGGGAATGTAAATTAGTTCAACCATTGTGGAAAGCTATATGGAGGTTCCTCAAAAAACTAAAAATAGAAATACCATTTGACCCAGGAATTCCACTCCTAGGAATTTACCCTAAGAAAACAGGATCCCAGATTCAAAAAGACATATGCACCCCATGTTTGTGGCAACACTGTTTACAATAGCCAAGAAATGGAAGCAACCTACAAGTCCATCAGTAGCTGAATGGATAAAGAAGAGGTGGTACATATACACACTGGAATATTATTCAGCCATAAGAAGAAAACAAATCCTACCATTTGCAACAATTTGCAACAACATGGATGGAGCTAGAGGGTATTATGTTTAGTGAAATAAGCCAAGCGGAGAAAGACAAGTACCAAATGATTTTACTTATATGTGGAGTATAAAAGCAAAGCAAAAACTGAAGGAAGAAAACAGCAGCAGACTCAAAGAACCCAAGAATGGACTAGCTGTTACCAAATGGAAAGGGGTTGTAGAGGGTCTTTGGGAAGAGAGCAAGAAGGGGATTAAAGGGGATTATGATTACCACACATAATATGGGGGTAGGGGACAGGGAAGGCAATATAGCACAAGGACAAGTAGTGACTCTATAGCATCTTATTGTGCTGACGGACAGTGACTATTATGGGGTATGTGGTTTGGACTTGGTAATAGGGGGAAATGCAGTAACTACAATGTTGCTCCTGTGAATCCTGAGCAGCATAAGATTGTATATCAATGTTACCTTAATAAAAAAAAGAATAGGAAAAAAAAGACTTTTAAAGCAAAAAAGAAAAGTAATATTTTATCTTCAGTTGAGTCTTTCATTAATAATTCCAAAGATTTATACCAATAGGATGAAAATATTGAAATGAAATAAACTGTCATGCCACAGTGCACTTTCCTTTCACACTTACATTAAGTGTGCCCTATTGGAAGTATAAATGAGACTTTGAATCTAGATTTTCCTTCATGTATAGTTCCTGAAAAATCCTTTTTCATGTTACAAATTATACTGAAGAGTTTTAGCTTTAAATATTCCATAAGGAGTTTTATGGATACTTCCCTACGAAGTATCTTTTATTTCATTCTAGCTTTTTCTTTTTCCACAAATAGTTCTGAATGATAGGGAATACCCAAGTTTCCTTGGGTATTCTCTATCCTTCCCAGTGCCTTCTAACTATTTAAGTTTTAGGTCCATTATGAACATAAAATCTGTGAAGTAGGTCAGGAGATACACAGTGGTTTCAATATCAGGGTTCTAAGGGGGATTAGACAGAAATTGTCAATAAGCAATTTCATTGCTGACTTAATGTAGATCCCCTCTGGGTCCCAGAGATAAAAATTAATTGTGTCTCACCATTACTTGAATATAATACCTCCTGGTCTTTTTTTGGGGGGGGGGGTTTAGTTTAGAGTCTCTTTTTGGGCTACAGTTTTTAAATTTTAGCTAGACTATAGAGGAAAATGGTATGAAAAAAACTTTAAGAAAGGAAACTTAAAATAACCTTTGCTTCTAAAGACTAGAAAGTCCTGTAACCACTCACTTGGAAATGCACTGTAAATTCCTTTAATTAATTCCAGGTCACATTCTTTTAGGTGCTTCTATCTTTCTTAAGGAGAAAATTTTTTATTTTGACATAATAAGTAATGTCTGTTTTTAATCTTTTCAGCTACTCAAGTCTTTTTTAAAGTAAGCAAGTTATCAACAGCAAATAATTATTTTTTTATAATAGCAATAAATTTAAAATTATATTTTTGATCCAAGTGCAGTGCTCAACATACAGAAAAATAAAGTAGCCAGTTTATGGCTATTGGCTGCTAAAAATGCAGGTATGAGGATTAATACACCAAATGTCTGAAAAGCCTTTCTGGGCCAAGGTAGTCAACCATGTTACAATTTACTGTGGTAGACACTGAAGATAAAAGCAATATGACATTCTTTGCCCATGATTAGTGAAGTCTCCTCTTATCAAAATTAGCTCTCATAAAATTTAAGAAACAAAATAATAAGAACTATCTGGCTTTTATCTTTCTAGATATAATAACAACTTTAAGATAAAAAATAAAATAAAATTAAGTGACATGTGGACTGCAAGCTGTGTGGATGAAGTGGAAGAAGGGAACACCAATGCCATGAAATCCTTTGTACTGGGCTGGCCCACAGTGAACTTTGTGGCTACTTTCAGGTAAGAAACATAGCTCATCATGGACCTATATGGGTTAGCTGCCATGAAATGCCATCATCTCTGTTATTTCTAGGATGGAGAGAAAATAATTAATCAAATTTTGTTCCCCTAAATTTGAAAAGAAAAAATTTATTCTAATTGAGTTATTCTGAAATCAATAACTTACAGCCTTTTGATACACACCCTTCTTTTACTCAATAAGGACACTTGAATACCTTCTGTTTCTCCCAAAGAGCTTATTAAAATGTGTGAAAAATAATGGTGAACATGGAGAACTTTTGGAGTCACTTATCTTGGTGTGATCAGTGACTTGTAGAGACTCTACTGAAACACCCACTGTGGAAGAGGAGGAGAGTGTTCAGAGCTCTAGGACCCCTCTCCAACATCCTCCTCCCTAATGTTCAAGTTTTATATATTAAGCTTTTGAGTTGGTCTTTTCAAACCACTGAAATAGGTAGGCCTTTACTGAAACAAATCTTATAAAGTACTTCAATTAGGTTTTAATAACAAGTTTATACTCCTAAACTTTTTAAAGAAATACTTTTTAATTACCAAAATAAAATTAATGTCATGAAATAATGGGGTGCCTGACTTGTATATCAGGTTCTGATTTGGTATAGAGATGTGACAAATCAAAGGCAAATTTATGATTCAAGCAGTAAAAGTTTCCTAAGACTTATTCCTTGGGTGGGATGGAGTTGGAAAATGTATGAAGAGAATCATTAGGCTCTTATCTTGAACATGCTAAACTGGCACTTTTCACACCTGTAATTTTGAGCAGTTGCACCCTCAGGTCCAGTATTTGTTTTGCACTTAAAGAGTTGGTATTCATCAAATACACACAATGTTTTTCTTTCTGCTGCTTCTCTCCCCACTACCACCAAGCTCCTCAGGCATACTCCTAAATAACTAAATTTTTCCCAGCTGTTAATTTTCTGATAAAGAAATGTCATGTCATAAAATTCTCTGATGAACTATTGGTCTACCACAAGGTTTTAAGAACTTATTGGAAGAAACATGTGTTTGTATCATTCTCTGCATATCCTCTTTTCCATGACATATTTCTCTAGATATTATCACTTACTATTACTTAATCTTGGAGTTATAGGTGAAAGGAAGTGCTTTCAAGTGAGGGATGGGACTACATGACATCTTTAATCAAGGAGTTTCCATAAAACTCTTTTATAAGAAGAAGGAAAAATATGGAAACAAGTTTTACATGCATTGTATTCCTCAAAAAGTATAGTACTTTAACCATGACTAAGGTTAACACTAGTGATGTCATATGAATATCATATATCCTTTGACAGAATGTGATGAAAAGAGTAACTCACCTTTCTGGCATTCTTCCCAAAAACTCATAGCCCAGGTCTAATCATGAGAAAAACATAAAATATGTCTAAACTGAGTGATGTTCTATAGGCTACCTGACCAGTACTCTTCAAAACTATCAAGGTCAAAAACAAATCAATGAGGAAAAAAACATAGACACTGTCATAGACTAGTCATTAAGGAGAATTGATAACTAAATGCAATGTGGTAACCTGGATTGGATCCTAGAACAGTAAAAGGACATTAATGGAAAATCTGAATGGTAAACAGTTTAGTTAATAGTAATGTACCAGTATTGGTTTCTTAGTTTGACAAATGTGCTATGATAATGTAAGAGGATAATGTTAGAGGAAACTGAAACTGGGTGAGAGGTATATAGGGACTCTCTGTACATCTTTTCAACTTTAAGGAAAATCTAAAATTTTTCCAAAATTATAAAAAGATAATTTGAAAAAAAAAGTTGTGTTGAAGAATTCTGCCTCTGGTATGGCAGAGTGAGGTCTTAGCAGACTGACCACCCTACAGATAACAAGTGTAAACTCTGAACAAAATACAAACAACAACACCTGAAGGTTCTGGAAAGTGAACAAAAGTTTGCATATTTTGGAGAGGAATTGAAACTTAAAAGGAGGCACCAGCACTGGGTGAGTTTCCTGTTTTTAAGGCATTAGCTTGAGGCAGGCTGCAGCCACATCATGGCACAGGGCAACTAAACTTGACAAAAACCCAGAGTCTTCCTGGGCTGAAGAACTTGAGTACAGAGTCTGGGTCAGCCACGACATAAAAATGAGGAAGGAAATCTCAAAAGGAGAGTATCAGAGAAGGGAATTTCCAAATTTTGTATATAGACTCCCCAAGTATCTGACTGATTGCTGAAGCACATATGCATGGAACAGACTTAAAGCACCTTGAATCTAAGACTAAAAGAATTGAATTGAGATATTTTCCCCCACAGGTGAGATACAGTTTGCAGATTGAATCTAATCAAGTTACCTGTTTAAAAAAACCCACCATTTTACAAATAAAACAAAACTTAGAGTTTCCCAAATGAATATTAATAATGTCCAGAATACAATGTAAAATTTCTTGACATATGAAGAACAAGAAAAGGGAAAAGATCGTAAAAAGAGCCAATCCTGAGATTATCCATTATGTTGGAATTATCAGAAAATAACTTTAAAGTAGTTCTTACAGCCATGTTCAGTAGGTTAAAAGAAAGGCCATTGAAATGAATGAAAAGATAGGAAATCTCAGCAGAGAAATAGAAAATATAAAAAGAGCCAAATGAAAATTCTGGAACTGAAAAGTACAATTTATTAAACTTTAAAAATCCCATGTGGCCTTAGTTGCAGAATGGAAATGAAAAATGAAAGAGTCTGTGGATCTAAAGATACATCCATATATTTTGTACAATCTAAGGAATAGAGAAAAAGATTTTTTTACTGGAAAATGCCTCAGAAACTTACTGGAAAATACCAAAAGATATAATATATACGTAATTGAAATTCCAGAAAAAGGAAAGAAAGGGAATGGGACAGAATAAATATTTAAAGAAAAATAATGGTTTGAAAACCTCCCAAATTTGGAGAAAGACATAAATGTACTGATTCAGTAAACTCAATAAACCCCAAATGGGAGGGGTATAAAGAAAACTTACCTAGTCATGTTTTAGATAAGATGCTATAAACCAAAAATAATAGAAAATCTTGAAAGAAGGCCCAGAAAAACAACACATAAAGGGGAACAACAGTTTGCATCAGTGTGGTTTTTTCATCAGAAACTATCATGTTTTCAGTAGACAGTGGAATGGCATCTTTACTGAAAGAAAAATTTTCAACTTAGAATACTATATCCAGTAAAAACGTCTTTCAAAACTGAAGGTGAAACAAATATTTTTTTTTAGTACTCAAAGAATTTATTGCTAGTAGAACTGTACTATAAAAAGTGCCAATGAAAGTTTTTCAGCCTAAAGTAAAATGATATCAGAGGGAAGCTTAGATCTTTAGGAAAGGGTAAAGAACATAAAAAATGGTATAGATGATGATAGATCGATAGATGATCGATTGATTTATATATATCTCAGTAAATATTAAGAAAATCTAGGTCTTGATCAGCTTAAAATGCCATCAAGCCAGCAGCTCAAGAAGCAGTGTCTCTCCCAGCCAGTCACTACAATATTTGTAAAGAAACCAAAAACTTAAAGATTAATAGCTTTGACGTCTAAGACTGACAACAATTGCCAGCATCAGTGAAGAATTCCCAGTTGAGTCAAATTGGAGTAAGAGCAAACAATAAATTTGAACTTTCCATGCTTTACCTTGAGCCAAAAGGAATTTTTATTCTATCACTACTTGTATCCAGAATCACAATCCTAGGTTCTACATCTAAGAAAAATAGGCATTGCACCTGGATTTTACAGATAACTATACAGTAAATGAGAAAATTGTTCAAAAGACAGAGGAAGTACTTAAATATGATATTGATCTATCTTCAAGAATAATCAGAAGACTAATATTTTAACTTAAGTACCTACTACTCTTAGTCTGCAAACTCAGGCATACAAGAAAAGCCTGTTTATATATAGATGAAATGAAAACATATCTTGAGCCCCCATTTTGGAGGCTGTTAAGAAATCAAATTTTCTTTTTTACTGAAACCCTTGTATACTTAGGGTAGAATCAGAATACAGGAGACTTTTGTAATAACTCTGAAACAGATTAAAAGCTTCTGGCCTTCAGTGTATTGCCACTGCTGACATTTTCTATTTCTATGCCAGGAGTTGTTCTTTTATATCCAAAGATGCTCTGATTACTTGCCACATATGGGGTACAGGTATCTTTGCTGATATAAAAACCTTGATGCCTAGGAACAAGGCTCCCTAGGTGCTCCTTAGAACCATTTCCTCTGGGGTCTTCCTGTTTTCTTAGGCAACTCAACTGAGTGACATTGTTCCTAGCTCATTTTCAGGGATGCAAGACTTGATTCCCTCCAAATTGGAAGGAATTTTCCCAATCTACGTGAACTTTTTCTTTAAGATATACTGCTTTATCCTCTTGTGGCTCTTATCAAATGAGCTTAGGTGTTTATGAAACTAAGATAACCTTGATTTTGGAATACTTCTCTTTTTAGTTCTGTAAAAATGCTTGAGATTAAGAATTACTAAGGAAAAAAAATTCCTGGATTCTTGCACAGGGCAGGAGAAAGAAGAAAATATAAGACTGTACAAATAAATTTCTATGAATTAAACATATAATTTAATTATTTATTTCATTTATTTTTGGATATGGGTAAGTCTTACAAACATTATGTCAAATGAAAGAAGCCAGACACAAAATAGTATATACTATATGGTTACATTTATATAAAGTACCCAAATAAGCAAAGCTATTCTATTCTGTTAGAAGTCATGATAGTGGGAACTAGTTCCTTGTAAAGGAGCACAAAGAGAGCTTTCTGATTCATAATCTGGATGCTAGCACATGGATTTGTTCAATTTGTGAAAATTCTTCAAACTGTACAGTTAAGAATTATAGTTTTTTTCTATGTAATATATATGTCACTAAAAAATCAAAACTTAAAACAGTACTTTAAAGGAACAGTTTTCTTTCATTGCTTTGAAAAAATTAACAGGTCTAAAGAAAACCCCTGTTTTTCAACATAGATTTTTGCTAAATAAATCCAGTATTTGACATAAATGAACCTAGAACATTCTCTATTTAGGAAAGGAAAATACATCAAAAGATTGTAAGGAATTGTAAAAGATGAAAATTGTATAGTCAGTGGTAAAAGAGATGTAATACATCTTCTGATGCACAGTCCTAGTGAGTTTACTTATGAAGAAATTGCTAAGCCACAAAGTTAGAAACAAATTAAAAATATTTAAGTATATTTTTCTGGAACAAGAAAATAACTATGGAGTTTCCAACTTATTGAAGATTAGAAAGATGATTTTAAAAGCTAGTGAATAACAAGAACATATAGGAATTAACTTCACATTATTTTTAACTTTAAGAATTAAGTCCAGTAGTATCTTCAGAAAAATTACTAATAGTAATTATGAATAAATTGATCTTAATAAGAAGATCATAATAATTAATAATAAGTTTTCTATGAACTAATTTGCTAAATTAAAATTCTGCTATATGTGTAAAGCAATTAATTTGTATTTCTTATCCTGACAACAAATTGGCAGGCTTCTAGACCAAGATATTTCCATCAATTGTCTTTAATCTCAAATTAATCATACTTCCTATTTGTATGGCATTTAAAACTACAAAAATACTCTGAGGAAATTAGGCCAGTTTTACACATATGGAAACTGAAGTTTAGAGATGTTAAGGGATTTTCCAATGATTATATAGCTTGCGTATATTTTGGAACCAGATGTTTGAATTCCCAGTAAGTACTCTTTCCACTAAAACAGTGCCACTTGTAAAAGAACCGTGAATTGAGAAAGTAGATCTGTGTTGGATCCATTCAAGCTATTCTAATAAAACTATACTTGACTGTGTAATTTCTGCTAGTGGGGATTTTCACTTCAGGGTTCTCCAGAACACAGTTATACCATCATTGCAGTAGCGTACAGATACATCAGTAAGGACAGGATAATTCCATCTGGATTGGCAATCCTAAATGTGCTAGCATAAGTATTTTGTGTGGTTTAATTTTTCTCACTGATTTTCTTTGATTGCAGTTCCCCAGAACAAAAGGAAAAATGGCTCTCTCTCCTTCAGAGGTATTTTTTCAGTGTACATGTTTTTAATATTTAACCTGTAGTTAAATGAATTAAATTATTCTCTACAGAGATGTACCCCAAACAGTTCCCCTTCTCCTTAATAGAAATTGTTCATTTGTCCTCAAAATAAGCTTTTACTTAGACTGTACACTAGCTGCTATGTACTATAAACAGTGTTCTCTCATCACACATATTTCTACTTTTTAGGAAGGAGGACATTGAGGTCTGGTTAGATCATTTTGGACAGCAATTAGTCAATAAACCCTCCCATCTCTTTCTGTGTCTCCAGTCTTCTGTTTGGAGTTAACAGTTTCCTCAAAGCATGTATTAAGTTTCCAGTTTTCTGCTAAGCATCTCAAAAATCAATTATTATCCCCATCTTTGAGCATACAGACTAAAATATCTGTTTAGGTTCATTTCTTATTCCCGTAGTCCTTCCCTCCTTCCTCCCTTCTTTCTCTTCCCAAGCAATGAGATTACCAAGATTTACACTCCACTGGATAGCTAAATGAGAAGTAAAAGGCCATGTTTTGGTTTGGTCTAATGAATTATTATATATGCTCCTGTACTTATCAGTAAGATCTAGGCCTGTCCCGAGAAGATAGGAAAGCTTTGAGGATAACACATCACCCAGAGGTGCCTTAGCCTCACTGTAATGCTCAAACCTCACTTGAATTAGATCTCCCATTCTTTTTTGTGCCCATACCTAACATCCTGAGAATTTTTTATTCTCTTCCACCCCATAATATAGTCTGATATTTCTGTCTTCCCATCTGTCTTTTTAAAAAATAGCATATAAGTATATTGAAAATGATAGCAAAATAGATTGATTTAAAAATAAGCCATTAGCAAAATCCATCTGACCGAGTGTTGTTTTGGGTTGTTGTTGCATTTGATTAGATACATCAATCTAGAGAAAGAGAAGGACTACCCGAAGAGCATTCCCCTCAAAATCTTCGCCAAGGACATTGGGAATTGTGCCTATGTAAGTGTTTCTAAGCCAGAAAATTGAATTCTAAGTCCCTGCATAAGGCAGAACACCATGGATTTTTAAAAAAAGGCAGACAGATTGTGTCTGTGCTATGGAAGTGGGCATTTAGAAATAACTTTGTGAGAACATGCATTTTTCTAGGTATATGTATGTCTTTGTATATATGGAAAGTAAACTAGAGAAAATGAAGCAAGAGAAATTTATATTAACTACAGTGTTTAACATTTACACTTGAAAAGAGTATTTCTCGTCACATCTCTTTCTTTCCTCTGGCATTAATGTTTCTCTGGATCCTTTAAGTAATAGCTGTTAGAGACTTGTAGTAAAGCCATTTCCACAAGAAGACATTTCCTATTAGTATTAAGCAATTTTTTTTCCAACTTGTCACTTCTTATGTAGAGAATGGCTTTAGAACGTTCTTCAGTCTTTAAGTTTTTAGGTATTGAATCCCTCAGGTTAGTAAATGGATGAGCTGGGAGAGATAATATTTTTAAGGGATCAGCATGTTTCTACCTCACAGTTTTTATCTTATTGGTCAAGTAAAAATTAAATCTAGCCCCAGTTATTATGTGTAATTTGATTGAATTATAGTACAATTACAGTACAAGATAACTGAAATACAGTACAAGAACCAAAGTGTTATCAATGATGAACAAAATGGAAGCTTATGTATATTTATACTTTGGATTATTATAGTTCACAGCAGCCATAGGTCACACAGAATAGTTTTGCATGTGGAAAAATAAGTAGTATGAAACAGTTATGTTTTGCTCCAGAGCAAGAATTATTCAAATATTCTGATAGGAGTGCCAGACATCACTGCTTCAGGGAAATACTCACATTTTTATGGTATGAAACTAAGATCTCCTATAGAAAAGTAGCAAAAAAAAAAAACCAAAAACATAAAACAAAAAAACACTGTTTTTCTGCCATCTTTGTTTTAGCTGTGGTGGCAATTGGTTACACTCAGGATTTTCTTGGAAAATCCCTTGAGTTTTTTAAACACTTTCAGTATATGGACTGGTACCCCACTGTCTTTTGAAAGAGAAGATGAGATGTGGTCAGGTCAGGTGCTCTGTTTTTATCACTAGTACACTGGTTAAGCCAACAATGATCTGACACACTGTCCTTTGCTCTCTAAAGTTGCTTTATGACAAGAGCTCTGCTTTCAGAAGAAGTGGTTCCTCCACAAAATAGTAGTGCATGTATGGGAAGCATACATTCTTTCTTTATCCTCAGCCTCTAGTTATGCACAGCCTATCAGTAAGTTCTGCTAATATGGAGAAAAATAGTGACATCTTCACTTTTGTCCATTTGTTTACTGGCCAAAGAGCACTATCTGCTGAAATTCATTCATTTTGTCTACCAGAGAGACATGCAAGGGAAAATATATATCCCATAATTACTGTTTTGAACATATGTGCCTAATATTAAGAAAAATCAGTATCTTAGAAAACAGGTATATTAGGAGTGATTCTTAGTATTACAGGATAGATTCTGTACTTTTAGACTTCTTTAAATTAAATAGAGGGGCTTTCAGACTTTAAAAGAAAAGAAGCCTTTCATGAAATTATATCTCAACTTAAAGTCCATAATGTAAACCATCTATGATGCTCTGGGAGAAGATAAGCACTGGGTTGGGGGGCTCTAAGCCCTGCTGGGTTCTGAGACATTTTTACATAATCCTTGGAGCTACAAGGAACATATTGAAATTAATTAACAAACAACCTAAGAGGCAATTTGTCATGTCAAATAATTGGCTTATAAAGAAAAAATACTATAATGGAAGGATAAATGATGAATTATCAGTGAATTTTACTTAGCTTTATTTTTATATCATTATATTATTTTTGTATCATTTTACTTCCATTTGTTACTTATTTGTGCCATTTAAGCCTTATCTGGGACACTTCCTAATTGCTGATTTATCTGATAATTATATAAAACATATGTGCATAGTAAACATTTCTTTTTTGATAGCCTAGCATTGTCTTATATTTAAATAATGTCCTGAAATTCAGTGAACTCTATAGATACCTCAGAATCATGATACTAATCCCTTTTCAGTTTGTTGAAAACTGTTTTTCTATTTTTAAATAGTAATTTCTCTATTAGTTTATCACAACACTGTTATAGATACACTATTCAATAACAGAGTTGGGATGGAATTGAGCTTTTTCAAAATTTTCAGTCCTGTTTGTTAGACTCCTTGATTTTAAGGCCTTAACAAATTACAACAGTGAAAATCACAGTAGCCAAATTACCTGATATAAAGAAAGTGCTCAATAGTGGTTTGTAGAAATGCTAAACTTTAAATGTCTTTTATAAACCAGTTCTTATTTATCCCAACTGACTTTTTACCATGCAAAGAAATAAAAACCCACACTGTTAAAATAGTATTCAGGAAGAAATAAAAAGTTATTGAGCTTTCTCCCTTTTATATTCCATATTGCATTATGGAAATACAATTACAGAAATGATGAAGAGGACCAACCTCACCAACTTTTATTTTTTGGTTGGGAGGGTGTTCCATGTACTCTCTCTGAAATGCATTTATTCTTTTCCTTTCTTGTTTAGGCCTTTATATTTTGTGAGCACATATTCTTTATTTTAAGAGAAGTAGGTGTTTTATTAAAAGGCATAATACATAATGGAATAAAAGTAACTTAAAATCAAGAGTTTGTATTCCATTCAAGTCATATATTTTATTCTATCAACACTTGAAATCAAGATATGCCTTTGGATAATCATTTGACAATAATTATTTGTGCACTTAATTTAAAATTCTTTTTTTATAACTATATTTCTTATATCTTTTTTTCCTACAGTCTAAAACTATAACAGTAAAAAATTCAGATACAGCAAGTGAAGTCATCAACATGTCACTACCAATGCTAGGGATAACTGTAAGTTACTGTTAGATATTCTTATTTAAACACAAACTCTGATACCTTAGATTCATGTAAATATTATCCCTTCTATCATATGATAGCTGATTACTAGAGATACCAAACTCATATTTAGTCCCCAAAAATGCAGAAAAGCCTTTCTATTAGCTTAATATTGGGTGTTATTCTTCTGCTCCCATTTTAAAACCTGTGTGAACTGAAAAGCATAATAACATTAGACTAAAATTTTAGAATGATAATAATATGTGTTTTTATTGTATATACTATATACATATGCATTGAAGGTTTTTCTTGCTGTGAAATTCTTAATAAGGAAGTTTTAGCCTCTTCTCCCTTCCCACTTGTCCCTATATGACTATTCTTTCCCTATCTCCTCTGCTGGTTTTTCTCTTTAACAATTCTCTCATTATCCCCAAGATTCAGTCAGTTTTAGGATGGTGAATTGAAGCAGGCACCTCTGCATTGATTTCTAAGCTTATATAATTATATCTTGGAAGATAGTGAATAATTTAAGGGAAAGGGAGAGAGAGTAACTAATGACATGACTCATTTTCTTATTTATGCTTTTCCTTTGGATAAATTCATCAGTCTCCTCAGACCAAAAATATTCTATTCATTGTAATTAGGAGTTAAAGCTATTTGGTTATTCTGTTCTAAGGGAGTATTACAGTATTTTCAGACACTAAAAAAAGAAAGGATTTTTATTAGGTTACTCTTGCTTTTGCAATAAAAATTTTCTTGACTTGAGGATGGGGAAGGAAGTGACAGAGTAGGGGAGTAGAGCAGGAGAGTTATTCTCCACAGCCAGGACCTTCCATTGTAAGGTCAGGGCAGTGATTTCTAATCAGAAGCTAAAGGGAAAAAATATTAAATGTTAACAAATCTGTTCTTGCTTCATTTAAAGTATTTTTGTTTTATCCTCTTCTAGAGGATACAGCAAAGTCTATATAATTTAGACTTACTTTTTTCAAGTGGAATTTTTAGTATTGCTGAGTTATAATTCTGCTAGTGAGCAATTTCATTGTTTTCCATGACTGGGTCTATTCTTGTCCTTTCTGTCCCCAGGACTGGACTTGCCCCAGGTAGACTGTGCCAGCTACCTATCTCCTGAAAGCCTCTTGGTCATTCTCCTCCTGCTTAGAAGCGGCTGAGCTAATACTCACCCTTTGAGATTTTACTTTTTCATCACAGAAACAGCAATGCTGTGGCTTTCTGGATAACAAGGTTGTCTTTGCAGGGGCATGTTGGAGATTAAGTCCAGTATTCTCTGAGAAGTCCAGAGACATAGCAGAAGTCAGGACTCTAAAGAAGTGATTAGCCATCTAGAAAGCCAGGAAATTTCTTTTTCCTTCATAAAAGGGCATTTATGTGATTCTGTAGTCTGTGGTTTACCTAACTAGTGAGGGCCTGATTCCATTGCATTTTGTGGATCCCTAATCATCACTGGAAAAAAAGGATAGAATTCCTGAGTCCTTGGTCGGGGCTTAGAGAGAAGATGAGTTGTAGGAATCAGCACCACCATATTCAAAAACCGTATCCATACCCATGAACCTAAATAACAATTACATTATCCCCATTTTTTTCAAAATATAAAAATGACAAAAAATGTGTCCTCATTCAGTTACCAACAATGAAAGAATTACTGTTATTTCTTTTATCTCCAAGGACTCTGGGAGAGATTACCAGTTATGGGTCAATTCTGGTAAAGAAGAAGCCCCATACCCACTTATTGGTAAGTTTCTGTGAAAATCCAAGATAGGATTGATTTTGTTTTCATTATAATTCTAAACTTTTCAGAGATTTGGTTATATAGTCCTAAATTTAAATACTATTAAATACTAAATCTCATGTAACATTTGTTTATTCATTTAATAAATATCTATCAAGTATTTCCTATGTGCTAGACAATTATCTCTTCATTCCAGCAGCTGAGCGTATAGTTGGGAAGAGAAGTATAAATATTCCTCTCTTTTTTTTTCATTTTACAAGCAGAACTTTCCTGCCAAATATTTTTTTAATTTTTCCTATAAGAAAGCAATATATTGGTATTCCTTTTCCCTATTTACTTTTGGATTTTCTGCTCCCTTTCTTACCTACTGTGCTGCCCCTCTGGATGACCGTCTGTGATCCAGCCATGGCTCTTATCTGCCGGTATTTAACAACTGCCCTGCTCCCTAAACTTTCCTAGGCATCATAAAATGAGATTATTCCCCCTAGATTTCTAAAAATCTTCATAACTTACCATCTAGCTACTACTTCACTAACTACTTTGCTATTTCTTTAACCAAATTTTCCAGCATTTGTTTTGAAGAATTATTGGTAAATAAGTTATGTCTAACCATATTTAAATCATTTAGATAAAAAATATTTCTTAGTAAGGTCGTTCAGTCAGGTTAACAGAAATAGAGCAATTGCAATAAGGGGCAGTATCTATAGCAGATCTTGAGATGATGACAGTAGTGGTGACAATGATGATGACAATTTCTGCTAATTATTTCTAATTATCTACCAGATATTGTACAAAGCATATCGTATTATTTCATGTAATCCTTTTTTTACCTGTGAGGTCACTTCTATGTAATTCAGAATGTTTCAAATGATCTGAATTATCTAAGACCAAACTTTTTCTGTGAAATATATATATTGAGACATTAAGAAAGCCATCATGTACATAGCAGAAGACAAAATTCAGTTTCATTTTTTGTATTATTTAACATCATTTTTGTAAAAATCAATGAACAACAAAAGTTGTGACTGAAAAACAAATAAATACTTAAAGTAATTGTTTTAGTAAAATGCATTGATTAAAACTATGTAGATGATATTCAGGTTTAAAACAGCCTTAAGCTTCATTGCTAACCCTCACCAAAAAAAAAAAAGTGGGACATGGGACATGATTGTTATTTAGCAGCAATTCTCCCTTGTATATTTTAATGTGCCTTGCAAACTTCATTTGTTAAATTAGCTGCTGTCTATTTTGATAAACTGATTTTGTTTTGTTGCTTTCATAGAAGTTGCTTTTTCTTTTTTTTTTTGGTCTTAATCCCTAGAAGCGACTATAGTACTTGCTATTCATGAAACATTGAAATTGTATGCCTATGTCAGATGGAAAGGAAAAGGAAAGTGAACGAGTCACATTCAGTGATAAATCAGGACTAAAAGAGAACTTTCTCTCTGTACTTAAAAAAAACTAAATGAAGCATAATGGTACATGAGGATTAAATTAAGAAAATGTAATTACTTAGAGTACTAAAGAACAAAAAATCATGTTGCAACCATACATCCAGCTTTTAATTTTTCTAGTTTGCAAATTCCTTTTCAAATCTTGTTTCTGTATTTCTAATAATCTGCAGTCTTTCCTTCTGATTATTGCCTATGAACACTACCCTTAGAGGAGAGCATTAAGAAGAAAGCATAAATCAAACAAACCAGTCTTGGTGCTCTTGAGAAGCTCTGGTTATGAAACTAATAAAAAGTAATGAAATGCCTTTTTCAGACAGATATTTTATGTTGAAGTGCTGCTTGAAATATATAGTCCTTTGCCCTTATTATTTAAATAATAACCACTAAGGCTTACCTATTTCATCTTCATAATACTGTGTAATAAGTAGGGTAAATATTTTAAATCATAGATTTAAGGCTGAGAGAAGTCAAGGATTTGCTGAAGATTTACAGATACAGTTAGTGTCAAAGGAGAAACTAGAATACCTTTAAACAGACTTAGATGTGGCCATAGGAAAAGCCAACATTATGCTACTCACAAACCAATCTGTGCATTCCAGGCAAAATATCTTTAAATGTGTTTTTCTCTTTGCTTTTTTTCCCCTCTTCCCTTTCTTCCCTCCCCCCATCACCTTTGAACTACTTTGGTAGGGCCACCTGCATTATGCAGTAGTCTCCATCTGTAAGAGTGTGCATGGTGATCATCAGTCAACAAAAGAATTCTTTATACCAAAAGTCGCAGGAGCAAATTGCAGTGCATTCCAATACATAGCAAATGCTCGCAGTAGCAGTCAGCCCGAAGTCTACATTTAGGTTTTTCTCTGTGTAGGGCATGAATATCCCTATGGAATTAAAATGAGCCATCTTCGAGACACTGTGCTCCTGACACAGGGATCAAAGGACTCCACAACTCCTTCCAGCCTCCAAGAGCCCTTCCTCATGGAACAGCTGCCCCAAGAGATGCAGTGCCAGTTCATCCTGAAGCCCAGCCACCTGGCTGCAGCCCAGCAACTGAGCGGTGAGTTGCTTCTCGTCTTTCATAAACACTTGTTTTAGCAAAAGTTTTCATTCCTGAAAACAAAGTTAGTACAAAGGCAAAGACCCAAATTCTAGCCAAATGAGGGATTTTTTTCTTGGAAATGTGCTAAATGTTTTTAAAGGAAATACGGAATTTTAGAAGATGGTTTTGTAAATCGGCAGTAGGCGTGACTGACATGGAATCAGCAGCTAGTAGCAGTATGTCTATTCCTTCTTTCTTTACTCTTCTCTCCCCTTTAACCTTTTGCCCACTGCAGAGCCAAAGGCACCAGGCAGTGCTGCAGGTGTCTCAAAGCCCTCTTTGTCCTGTAATACACTGCATTGTGTGTTACCCCTAAATGGTCATATTCTAAAAAGGAGGCTGTCAGTAATGGTTGTCAGGAGACTGATGTCCTACCTGGATGGTACTGATAAATATGTAAAGACTAAAATGATTTCCACAGAAATTTCTTCTTAGTCTACCAATCTAAACGTTAATGTAGTCATCTCTTACCCACCCCATCATAAAGAGTCTAGAAGAATGAAAGTGATATTCAACATAGAAGAACCATCAGTTACCCTAACCCAAATTTGAGATTTAGGCCCTCAATCTGACTTAAGATTGTATAGAAAATAAAAGAAAATTGTATCATACCAAAAAGTGTGAGTGGGAGAGCAGAGAACTGATGCTGAATTTCTGTAGCTACTGTTGTCAAGTTGAACCAACTGGGGACCCAGTGAATAGTGGCAACTGGTTTATATGCATTCCCACACACAGACATATCCAACCCTGCCACTTTTTGTTAATGACCTAGCCTCAGATTGTATGCCTTATTAAACTCATCCGTCCTGACTCCCCTCATCTTGCCAACACCAGCTATAAAAACCTACCTTGCATTTACACCAGTCATGTTCTCTCCTGTAATGGTAAATTGAGCTTTTAGATTCTAAGACTGTTTACTCATGTATTGGGCCATTTTCAAAGGGATATTATACAGATGCTATAGTTTTCTGTCCATTAAAAAGCAAGCCCCATGAAGGCAGAGATTTTGTTCATTACTGTATTATCAGCAACCTGGAACAGTGGTTGACATATATAAATAAGTACTCAAAAATTATTTTTTGAATGAATAAATTTAATAGGTCTATTGTAACTTCTCCTTAAGAATCCAAAGGGAATATTTCTTTATAACTAAGCCGAAAAGAATAGTTTACTCTTCTACCTTTATACCCATGTTTTTCAAAATTCTTTTACTGGGTCCCTTGTAAATTTTAATTAATTTGACCAATAATCAGGGGTTAATAATAATCAAGGTTAATCTTAACTGTTTTACCCAATTTTGCCAATGACTTGCTTAATTAAATTGTAGGCATTCTCTGCTTATTAATCTTCTGTTTCTGTTTATTGGAAGTTCAGATAATAGTGGTTGCTGCTTTAAGATGATTATAGGAATGGAGTACCTGGACCAATGGTGACATCCTAGCTGGGTATCAAAATAACCTGTACAACTAAAAATTACAGGTGAACTAGTTCTGCATTTTTTTTAATACAGAAGATTTTTATGAACAAACTGCTTTGGAAGCCACTGATTTAGATCAGAGATTAGCAGACTTTTTCTTTAAACAGCCAGATAGTAAAATTTGCTGATGAAGAGACAAAATCAAGGATACTAATGTCAGTACTTATATGACAAGAGAGAAAAAAACAAGCTTCCACAAGTTTTTTATTGATGATATTCAATATATAGTAATAATTGAGTAAATTTTATGTAATACAGGTCTACTAATGAGAAGAATTGAGTGGGGGGATAACATTTCCCTTAATTGGAGTTCAAAGTCAGCATTCCAGTGATCATAATTGAATATAAAATACTCTGACCTATAATGAGATTTTATATATTTCATCATCTTTGAAAATATCTTTTTATATGGATAAGTATTGCTGATACTAAGGTCATTCTACAAACATGTATTTTAATTGAGCATATCCCTATCTTCAAAGGCATTTGTAGAATTTTGTTAGGTTCTTCTTTTGATATTTGCCTTTTAGCATGTCATTTCATTGCCGATTAATCACTTCCAATTGAAGGTTGTTAGGTGGAAGCTCCTCAATTACACAGTTAAAATACTTTTAAATATGGAAATTTCCCTTGAATTTGCATTGAGGTCAGTACAACACTGTTGCAAGTGTAGTTTGATCTTTGAAAATATATCTGTTACAAATATGTATGGGAATGGAGATCTTGCTTCTTTTTTAGCTTTGAGAGCACAAGCAGTGTAAGAGCAGCATGACATTACTTGTGATTCAATGCTAGTAATTTTCAAAATGAAACTTTCAAAAGTTTTACATAGAAGCACTTAATTTCCAGGCCATTCAGTGATCAGTAATAGTACTTGAAATTTCTATGAATGAGAAGAATTTTTATCAATCTTAGCCCTAAGTTCAAATATCACTATAAAACTTTACCACCACTTAGCCATTGAACTGCTACATAATAGCACAAGACAGACTATTTGGCTTCCATTTCTGACAAAAATTTACAGAGCTGGCAATGGTTAAGTTCACAAGAGTGTGGGAAGTTCACTATTGACACTACAAATCCAGGAACACCTGATAAATTCAAATATTTTCCACACAGTACTACAAAGGCATAGAGTTTAATGTCACTGATGAATAATACAGTGACATTAAACTCTGTATTTTCACAAACTTTGTAAATTTGTAAAATTACGTCTTTTCTGCTCCACATACTTTTACCACCATAGCAGAACCCACTTCAGGTTGTATTGAATTATACTACTTTATGACTTTCTTAACTTCTTTGAAAATTCTCATGTGTAGTTGCTCTACACAGACTATTTAAGACTAATCCATCAGTCACTTCAAACAAAGCATTGACTTCTCAAATAAACTGAGCTATACTGGAAATATCTGCCAACTAATCAAGAACCAAGGGAATTCACTGAAAATAATTTGCATTGTTTTTTAGTTTAATATTGATATTACTCCAAATGTCCTCAACTATTCAAGCATCTGTTCCCCCCAAAAGGCTAATAGTATTAAGTCTAGTTTCTCTGTACACATTTCTTCAACTACTGCAAGCATGCGAAGTTTAATCAGCTCACCATTGGTAAACAGCCTTCCTTGCATTGCTAAGAAATGAGCTACTGAGAAACTTACTTTTGTTGCAGTTTCATTTTTATTTTTTATTTTTTTGTGTGTGAAGAAATTCTGCAGTTCAGAGATATTTCAAATATTCTAAATTTTTCTAATTATTACTTTCCATGGGTTGGGAATATTCTAATGAGTGCTTAGTCTGATAAGGTCAAAATATATTGTATTCTTTTACCACAGCTATTATGTCATTGCACAGTTTGCACAGTACTTTGCCATTTAACTCCATACAAAGTCATCCACACTTGACTATGCCTTGAAAGCTCAGCATTAGGAATGATACGTACTAAAAAAATGTTGCAGTATCATAATACATGTGGCACTCAAAATACTGTCCAGATATAAATGTGTCACTGCAGTTTGTTGTACTGAGCAGTGCAGAGTATAAGAGCACCTCTGTCATAACTACTCAGCTCTGCCATTGAGTGTGAAGTGAAAGCAGTCATAGACAATATATAAATGAATGAGTGTAGCTGTGTTTCTACGAGACTATTATGGGCAGTAAACTTTTAATTTCATATAATTTTTGTCACTAAGTATTACTGATTTTTTTCAACCTTTCAAAAATGTAAAAGCCTTTCTTAGTCTATCCAAAGGCAGGGGGCACACCAGATTTGGCCCACAGAACATCATTCACTGCCCTCTGATTTTGATGACTGAAATGTACATTTATGCATAAACATTCCAGCTGAAGTCCCAGTCTTTTACCAAACTTTATACCATAGCTTCACACAAGTAACACAACCATCTCATTTGACTTGTCTCCATTCCTTTGTCTGTTACACCTTTGCAGTATTTTCATTCGAGCTAAAAACCAGATGCTTAGGAAGATCAAAGAACTGTAAAGAGTCAAGAAATTCTTAGGATGGTGTTGTTGGCTCCTGCATGATGACACCTCATGTTAACAAATTATCTCTACATAGAATTTAACAGTTTAAACCTATTTAACAGAACTTAAAACAGAACTTAAACAGAACCTTAACAGAACTTAAAAACTTGCTTTTAAGCCTCAAAACAACCACATAACATCATTATCCCATTTTACAGGGGAGGCTCAGCATGCAAGATCACAAAGCATGTAACAGTAGAGCTGAAATCTCAACCTTTCTGTCTTTGAAGCCCTGCTCTTGTCACTAGAGTCCATAGCCATGACATGTGGAATGTCAGTGCTAATGCACTTCTGAAACAGACACCATTTTACATAGTTAACTTTTTGTCTTTTTTCTTACGTTCAGCACCCCCACTTTTTCTGTTACTGGTCTTGATTTTTTTTTTAATTAGGAGGCAACATGCCAGTATAGGAGATTTCCTATATGCTTATATTATGTGTTGAAAAAGAAGAATTAGTTCATTTTTCCCTACTAGAATTCAGTTTAATATATGATATGTGAACAAGGGTAGGGGAAGTGAGTGAAGAGTCTTGTTCCTAAACTCATTTCTTCCTAAGGTTTCTTTTATTTTTCCTTTTTTATCTTATTATCCTTTTTTATTAGGAATGACGTTTTTAGTTAGCGTTTTCAAATCTCTAATAGCTGCATTATGATATGTGAAATACGACCATATGATTATGAAAATTTAATGTGCTTTCAAAGTAAAAATTTCTGTCACCTTCTTTCCCACCCTCCGTACCCCCTAGTCTTTCCTAATAGGAATTAAAATAAAAGAAACCTCTTATGAGGAAATGAGTTTAGGAACACGACTCTCTTCACTCACTTCCTTACCCTTGTTCACATATATAACACCTATTAACCTCAATTCTAATAGTGAAAAATGAACTAATTCTTTTTAACACATATAAACATACAGAACTCAGAATTGTTTACCAA